GTTCTTCCCCTGAAGGAAGCCTCTGCTAAGCCACACCTAGAATTTTCTCTGACTCACCCAATGGTAATCAAAGGAAAGTGCACGCCATCACTATGGACCACATCCCTGTGTAATGGGACACCAACTCGCACCTGGCCAATCGGCGGGGCCCACAGTCCCCTCTCCCGCCCCTACTCGAACCCTCTATAAAACTCCCTGGTTCTATCAGGCCACGCTCTCTTTTTTGCCACTTGCTGCTGCGTCAGTAAGGAGGGTAAGGGAGCTTAAGCTAGCGTGAAATAAAGGACTCATTGCTTTTGCATTGGACTGGCTGGCTCCCTGGTGGGCTCTTGGGAAACCTTGCAATCTGGACATAACAAAAGATAAATATCTTGATAATATTTCTTTTCCCCTTGTTATAGTTAGCTCAATAGAACTTAGTGGGTTAAAAACAGAAATATGCCAATATATTTCCTTTTCTATCACTCTTATCATTAGAGCCTATAAAATGTTGCCATGTCTACATATTGTGTCTTATAGCATGCCTGTCATTTGGAATCATTCCATGTGAACTTACTGAAAAAATGAGCTCAGTTCATATTAGCCTTTAACCATTTGAAAATACTGTTATTTAACCATTTGAATAGTGTATGCCTAACTGCTCTGGGCCTCAATTTTCGTATTTGTAATATGAAAAGCTTTACCAGAGGTTCTCAACCTGTGGGTCATGACCCCTTTGGTGGTCAAATGACCCTTTCATAGGGGTTGCCTAAGACCATCCTGCATATCAGATATTTACATTACGATTCATAACAGTAGCAACATTACAGTTATGAAGTAGCAACGAAAATAATTTTATGGTTGGGTCACAACATGAGGAACTGTATTTAAAGGGCCAGAAGGTTGAGAACCACTGCTTTAGACTGTGGTGGTGTTTTTTTTAAATGATCTTGAAGGAAGAAATTCTCAAAGAATATACTGTACATCTGTTCCCCTACATTAGTGATTTCAACTGGGGCTGGTACTATCACCTTAAGGTAAGTGAATGAGGGGGGATTTTCATTGTCACAGTAGCCAGGCACTGGGACAGCCATTGGTTCTGGGTTTAGGAATACAGTGCATGGGGCCGTCTCACGCTGGAGAATTGTTTTGCCTAAAAGACCAATAGACTCACATTAGGGAACACTATTCTTGAGAGCACAGTGCAATTCAACTTACAGGGTTAAGACTGAATTCTCTGCTGATTTTTTTAAAATAAATGAGATATGAGGAAGGCTTTTGCATTTGCAGAGAATGTTTCTGCATTTGTATTTGTTAAGAGTATTGTCTTTTAGGTTGTGTAGGGACCGTTAACTTTGTTGTATGTGTCTCTCAGTCACACATACTTTTCTATTTTTTGACATTGAGGCAGAGATTGTCTGTCATTCAGTTCAATATCTATGTTTTTTGTATTAATGCTTCCCTTTACAAGTAACAGATCCTGCCCTGACCGGTTTGGCTCAGTGGATAGAGTGTCGGCCTGCGGACTGAAGGGTCCCAGGTTCGATTCTGATCAAGGGCATGTACCTGGGTTGCGGCCACATCCCCAGTAGGAGGTGTGCAGGAAGCAACTGATCGATGTTTCTCTCTCATCAATGTTTCTAACTCTCTATCCCTCTCTCTTCCTCTCTGTAAAAATCCATAAAATATATTTTTTTAAAAAACACAAGTAACAGATCCTACCTCAAACTGGTTTAAAAAAATAAATGTATACATCATCACTTGGTCTCAGGTAGGATGAACTTCAAGTCAGGCTGACTTCAGTAGCCATGG